ACACAGCTCCACTCCAGCACTTACAATCCCTTCCTCTTCTTTTTCAACACAGGAAAGAGCTAATTGCAAACCGTTGTTTAATTTAAATTATATACTTTTGTCCCCTTCGAAGAATAACTCATTTAAAAAGGAAAAAAAAGTTTCAAGCAAATATTCAAACGGTAACTTTTATTAAAAACAATGTGGAAACAATTTTATGGGATATGGATATTTGGTTATTCCTGCTGTTTCGTTCCCTGATCAAACCTTTTAATAATGATTTTACAAGAGCTATTTAGGCAATTATTATTTGCAGGTTTCGGTGTTAACTCCATAGTGCTCCTCTCCCCGCCAGTTCTCTTAGATTGCATCCAAACCCTACCTTTCGGTTCACTTTGATTGACAGTGGATGACATGCCATGACTAGGAGCTGAAGAGTGATGTGATTCAAGCCCAAACCTCTAACATGTTTATGTTGAACAAACTCCCATGCTGTAAACTGCTTTTAAAACACATTTTTCACGGGTTTCACCAATCCGGCTTGCAGGATCACAGTTCGGAGGACACAGGATCTGGACGTCTCCTTTAGCCCAACAGAACAGGGTAGTTATTTAACTGCTGGTCATGTCCAGGTATTTAGAGATACTGGGAATGATTTTATCTGTAAAAAATAATCAGAGCAGAATTCACTGAAGACCTTTTGCCTGGTTATTTGTAGGAGTTTTGGTCCGTAATAAATTGCCTGCCACTTTATTTTTGTGTCTGTTCTTGATTTTATTGTCTCATCTTTTTGTAAACCACTCTGAGGGTTTTTGTGTTTTTTGTTTGTTTTGTTTACAAATGAGCGGTGTATAAATATTATGAAATAAATTAATAATTTGTTGTAGGAAGAATGGTGACTATGAGATCATAGGGATGCAAAAATTACTGTTCAAGACATTAAAGATCCAAGATGTTGTTAAAGCTATTAAAGGAAAACCCTCGGAACGTGACAGGAGAAAATCCAGGCAAAAAATGGGAAAACGTGAGGGTGGCTCGTTAATTTGGGGGGAAATTATCGAGATTTTTTAAAGTCCAAAATGTATTTTAAAAGAACTAGAATAAGTAGGGTGAATTATCAAGATATTTTTTTAAAAAAAATCTAGATTTAAATGTTTCTTTAATTGGACAGGGTTTAATGAAATGAATTATGGTTTACTGTCTGTGCAGTGGAATTTTGATTGCATGTAATTAATTCCACATTTTCTAACAAATAATACATTGTTTTAAGATATTAAAAGGGGGAATTTTTTCCAGTGTCCATATGACATTGGTGTAATCAAGATATCAGCCTGTCATAATATCAGTCCCCAATTTATATCTGGATATACCCTTTTTAAAAAATAAATCATTTTTTTGCAACAAATAAATCTTTCCAACAGTCCATTTGTGATATCACAATCACCCATTCACAGAATTACGTCTCCATCAGAAAGCACCTTAGGAAAATGTTCTCATCCCAAATATTTGAAGGAAATATTTAAAACACATTAAAAATCCACTGAGTAGCATTTAAACAAAAAACAAAAAAACTCTGAATGCAATTAAATAGTTGGCTTTTCACAGAAATGCTCTAGTTCTAAAGTGCATATAAAATCAGAAAGCTTTGGGGAAATAATCATAACTATTGTTTTTAAAAATGCTTTGGAAAAATAATTTATAAGTTTTGTTTTTTGTTGTTATTTACCCACCCTTCAACATAAGGGCGGACTACAACAAATTAAAATACAACATTAAAAACAGTGTAAAACAGCTGCACAGAGACCTGGTTTTGTTTGTTTAATTATGATGTAATATGGAAAATCTCACACGACCCGGGAAAACAGGACAGTGGGTGCCTCTGAGTGTCACTATTTTTGGGAGGGATTAAAATGCTTTCCATGAATTCAGACTTGTGCAAGTGGAGTAAATGCTCTGTTGACGTATGCACTTTTTGTGGTCTGGAAACTGAAAGAGAAACGCATTGAAAGTGGGATGAACAAATTATTAACAGAAGACATGCAACCCCCAAAAGCAAATAGAGATTATTGCAGGATGAATGCTTGTTGTCATATAACCACCCTGGAAACAAACTGTAACAAATGCTCCATAAAGAGCGAGTACAATTATTCCTGCATCACTGAATGATTGGCAATTACTATTGCAGACGCTCCTGTGCATTTTCAAATAATTTTCTAGTTGGATCTGCAGCTCTAAATGTGTTCTTCCAATGTTGTTTGATGTGCTATTTTAGCTACATATTCTTTTATCTATTTTCATCATTACCAACCACTTCGTGGAATGGCGGGTGCTATGTCTCATGTGGGAGAAAAGGCAGACAAAGTGTGAAAATAAATACACGGATATGCAACATTATCGTATTTCAAAAGGCATAATTTAAAATATACAGGTTCATATTTCTTGAGAAAATATAATAGTCAAATTTCAGGCAATTAATTATTCACTATGGTTTAAGCCCAGGACGGGGAGGGATTATTTTGCAAAATGGATTCAATCTGTCCCCTGGGAGCTGGAAAGCAAATACTGTCGGACACTGTCTTGTTTGTAGATATTTTTTAACAATGGGGAAATTATTATTCTCCCTCCCCACCCCACCCCACCCCACCCCACCCCACCGCTCTCCCTAAAATATCTTATAAAACACTGGTAGTGTTCTGTATGCTGGGTTTTATATCAAGCAATGCATTTAAGATTCAGGCAAAGGAACTGTGGTATGTCAACGTAGAAAATGGGGCAGGAATTTGCCACATCGCTGTTTGATCAATCAATAAGCAATTAACAACAGGAAATACGGACGCCAAACAATAATCAGTTGCTACTTCTATTGCTCTTTAAAATACAAGACATTAAGTCTGGGAAAGATGACAGTATCATGGGTATTTCATAGAATCAAGTCAGGGTCCAGCAAACTTTTTCAGCAGGGGGCCGGTCCGCTGTCCCTCAGACCTTGTGGGGGGCCGGACTATATTTTTTTTGGGGGGGATGAACGAATTCCTATGCCCCAGAGATGCATTTTAAATAAAAGGACACATTCTACTCATGTAAAAACACCAGGCAGGCCCCACAAGTAACCCGGAGTCCGAGGATCAAGAAGCAAGGAGTCATGAAGTCAGGGGTCCGAGGGTCAAGAAGCAAGGAGTCATGAAGTCAGGGGTCTGAGGGTCAAGAAGCAAGGAGTCAAGAAGTCAGGGGTCCGAGGGTCAGGAAGCAAGGAGTCAAGAAGTCAGGGGTCCGAGGATCAAGAAGCAAGGAGTCAAGAAGTCAGGGGTCCGAGGATCAAGAAGCAAGGAGTCACGAAGTCAGGGGTCCGAGGATCAAGAAGCAAGGAGTCAAGAAGTCAAGGGTCCGAGGATCAAGAAGCAAGGAGTCACAAAGTCAGGGGTCCGAGGATCAAGAAGCAAGGAGTCACAAAGCCAGGGGTCCGAGGATCAAGAAGCAGGGAGTCACAAAGTCAGGGGTCCGAGGATCAAGAAGCAAGGAGTCAAGAAGTCAGGGGTCCCAGGATCAAGAAGCAAGGAGTCACGAAGTCAAGGGTTCGAGGGTCAGGAAGCAAGGAGTCAAGAAATCAAGGGTCCAAGGATCAAGAAGCAAGGAGTCACAAAGCCGAGGTTCAAGGATCAGGAAGTAAGAAGCCAAACACAACAAGGCAGGAAGCGTGTTCCTGTGGCAAAGAGCCAAAGGGAAATGCTGACCTTATATCCCTTCCCGGCTCTTGCCACCAGGTGCTGTGAGTTACCAATCGGCCTCACCTGTGAGGCCACGCCTTGCCTCTCCAGAACAAACTTAGGAAGGCCCCAGTCCTGCAAAGTCCTACTGGTCACAGGGCCTGGCTCCTGCACGCACACCTGACAACAACATTATCCCCAGCTGCGATTCCTAGCATCTGGCACCCAGAGACTTTATTGACTCCGATACGGGAGGTAGGGAGCACCCATCACGACCAGCCGTTTCATCTGTGAATTTGTCTAATCCCCTTTTAAAACCTTCCAGGGTTGGAGGCCATTACAACATCTCGTGGCGTTGAAACCCATAGTCCTGTGGCAGTGCATTCCATAGGCAGCAAATCTCAGTGTGTCTCTGTGTCTGTGCGTACACTTCTGGATTCCTTGAAGGAAAGATGGGGGAGCAGTGAATGCCGTCATCATATTTATGTTAATCTGGGCGGGATAGTATATTTGCACTTCTTTAGGAGGCGAGAAAGGAAATGTCATCATCACAGCTAAATCAACAGTGTGTTAGATATGGCAGTTGACAGGAGCATAGAATCATAGAATAGAATCATAGAGTTGGAATAGACCACAAGGGCCATCGAGTCCAACCCCCTGCCAAGCAGGAAACACCATCAGAGCACTCCTGACATATGGTTGTCAAGCCTCTGCTTAAAGACCTCCAAAGCAGGAGACTCCACCACACTCCTTGGCAGCAAATTCCACTGTCAAACAGCTCTTACTGTCAGGAAGTTCTTCCTAATGTTTAGGTGGAATCTTCTTTCTTGTAGTTTGGATCCATTGCTCCGTGTCCGCTTCTCTGGAGCAGCAGAAAACAACCTTTCTCCCTCCTCTATATGACATCCTTTGATATATTTGAACATGGCTATCATATCACCCCTTAACCTCCTCTTCTCCAGGCTAAACATGCCCAGCTCCCTTAGCTGTTCCTCATGATTTTGAGATTTCAGTGATAGACTATTAAACGCTAATTTCCGCTTGGCCTCTGGACCAAATCAGTACTTTTCTTCCCGATGAACTTCACAAAGTGCCCATTTCAGCAGAGTGTGTGTCAGTGGCCGCCTTGGTAATCAAAGCCGGAGAACTGCAATCTTGTTTCCACTGCCGCCCGCAAATGAATGAGGATTTGGAGAGGGTTTGGCCATCAGCGTCACAAAGGTGGGATTGGCTAGAGAGCAAGAGGCCGGGCCACTTTGACTGGCTCAAAAAGAGAGGGAATTTGGTGGTGTCGATGGCAGTGGATGAGATGGGAGTGGCTCCTTTGCCTCTGGCGTTAAGCAAAACATCCAGTTGGTTTGCTGGCCAAGTTGACTGGGGCTGTTGGCCGGACCTGGGAAGGCCCCAGCAACGTCCACCTTCTCTGATGAGCGATGGAAGGGTTAAACACAAACAGCTGGGTCCTGAAATCTCCATTCAGCATCACTAACCTACTCCAAGATGTGGCCTCAAGCGGCGCTCCCAAGGGACCACTGTCATCACCGTTGTTGAGGGAAGACGAGAACGTCGTAGCAGCAGCAGCAGCCGGTGAGGAACGGCAGAGGTTGAGAAAAGATGATCTTTCTGGCGAAAGGAGAGGAAAACACGAGAAGCCACCTTTCAGCTACAACGCCCTGATCATGATGGCCATCCGTCAGAGCCCAGAAAAGCGCCTCACTCTCAATGGCATCTACGAGTTCATCATGGGCAGCTTCCCGTACTACAAGGAGAACAAGCAAGGCTGGCAGAACTCCATCCGCCACAACCTCAGCCTCAACAAATGCTTCGTCAAGGTGCCCCGGCACTACGACGACCCTGGCAAGGGCAACTACTGGATGCTGGACCCTTCCAGCGAGGACGTCTTCATCGGAGGCGCCACCGGAAAGCTGCGCAGGAGGCCATCAACTTCCCGGACCAAGCTGGCCTTCAGGAGAGGAGCTCGGCTGGCTTCGGCCGGAGTGACCCTGGCCGGATCTCTCTACTGGCCTCTGCCTCCTCTTTATGGTGCCTCCTCAGCCTACCTGAGCCATCCCCCTGGCACCTTCTCTTCCATTTTCTCCCACCAGGCTATTTCTCCTCCAGCGGGGCACAGACAGGTGGAAGTAGATGGCTCCTACAGCAACCACCAGCAGATCGCCACAGCGATGTTGGCCTCGGCCATCCCTTGCAGCCTCTCCTCACCCGACTGCCTGGACTCCTGCTCTGTCAACTTCCTGGCCGGACAGGCGAATTACATCTTCTCTCAGAGACATCACACCCTGCCAATGAGACCTCAGGCTGTTGTCCCATCCAAAGCCACCAGAGATCTCCTCGGAAGAGGTCCTCCAGCTTTCCCTGGGCGGCTTTCTCCAGAGCTTCCAAGCTACTTTGCTTTTCAGAACCAGGGCGTTCTTTTTCATCCAAGCCTGCCTTGACTGTATAACCCCACAAGCCTCTTTTCCCCTGAAAGAAACATTATTATTTTTAATTCCTGCCTGCTAATATTTGAACCCAGTCAGCCTCCTGTTGTGCTGCGTGCTGCGTTGGTTTTCCACCCGTGGTCCGTGAAAAACTCTGGAGAAATGTTGACTTTTCACCCGACGTGTTTCCTTCTGACCCTTCACTGTCTTTTCTGGTGAAAGCGAGGGCATCTATCAACGTTTACCAACCTGAACTAATTTCTTCGAATGCCTCTCGCTAACCTGAACTATGAGAAAATCTTTGAGGGCTAAGACAAGTCAGCAAGCTTCCCGTGTAGGTCCGAGCTCGGCTTTGCTGCCGACATTTGGCATCAAGACTGGCACTCTGAACGCCAAGTGAGACAGAATTGCCCCAGGAGGTGCCAGTCAGTTTTGATGCCCATAAATTCTGCACATTTTCCCTTGCCTTGACTCCACTTCTACTGTCCCAATGCCTTTGATCAACGTACTGAAGAACAGGACGGACTTTTGAACAGGCACAAATGAACAGCGGTAGCTGCCTGCTTCCTTGCAGAGCATGAAATAAGGCATGCCTGATCCTTCACCCAGCAAAGTTCTAACTTAGCTGGGCTGCTGTCATTCACCCATTAAGCCTCTCCTGCGATTACGACCTTTGAGCTGTGTGATCCTCCAGGGCACCTTGGTTTAGGGGCCATCGCAATCAGCAAGACTTGTGCTAAATATGTTTAAGGGCTGAAGAGCCCATGGGTCTCGGACATCTTTGTGTGGCAGGTTTGGGGGTTGCTTTTTTTACTGATAATTCATCAGCAGCATCAACGTGCATGGCATTTTCCGAGGGGTGTGTGTGTGTGGAACCACCAGATCCCTATCCCCCAAGGAGCTTAGACTATAAATTTCATCAGTGCAGTAAGCTAATAGCAGAGGGTGGGAATGGAAGAGAGAGAGGAGAAAACACAGTTTGATTGCGCTTAGTGTCAAGCCTTCTCATCTGCAGCTGTAGCGCGTGATCTGGAAGAAAGAAGAATTCAGGGCAAGGCAGGTATGTTCGTCGTCCCTTCCACCTGAGCACCTCTGCAGGCAGTGCAGGGAGCCGGCAGGTTGAATACACAACTTGCAGTAGTTCACACAACTCAATGGAATCATCACAGGGCAAAGTGCCCCATGTTTCTGGACTTGGGAGATTACCAGTGCAATAATGCCTTTATAAATCGGCCCCAAAGGCCCATCTAGTCTATCGTCATGTCTCCAGCAGAAACGGGAAAGAAAGCTCACACACCAGTGTACGAGGGCATATGCACCCTCTGTGGATTTGTCCCTATAGCATCTCGGAATCAGCGGCGCACTGCTTTTAAACATGGACATGTAATTTATAATTATCAGTGGCTGGTGGACATTCATAGACTTGCCTTCTTTGCAAATGTAACTTTAAAAAACCCAAAAAAACCCTAGTGAATTCACTGTCTGGCCATCACCACAGCTCACGTCAACAAATTGCTAAAGTTAATTATGTGAAGCATTTCATTTGTGCGTAACCTGCCAATCGGCTTAATTGGGAGAGGCTAAAAATCTGCCGTTTTGACAGAGATGGAGGGTAATTGCTTGATGCTTGCTCTGTCTCTCTGAGCAGCACATCCAATCCTTAGAATTTGAGGTACTGGAGAAAATGCAGTCAGGTTGCAGTTCTAAGCGTTTGACGGAAAAACCTACGATAAATGTGCTCAGTAGGATTTGCACAAAAGAGTGTGTCAGAATGTGCAAATTCCCTTCTGGATTAAATTGCTTTGTGAATCAGGCTCCAGTATCCCCAGATTTCTGCTGGACTTAATTCTAAGTAATTAATCGTGCTTTTAATTGCCGCTTGATAATTGATACCCCAGCCCTGAACACATTTACACAAGGGATCAAAACAATCAAGTCCCATTGATTTAAGGGTTGTGGTTTTAGGCTCTGTGGGTTTGGAAGTGAATTTAGAGACAATCAATTTCTATAGTGTATTTATTCCAAAGTTTTTGCAGTGATTGTAATAGTACTATTATTACTTAGTTCCTACAGAGAGTGTGTGTGTGTGTGTGTTTAATTATCCTTTATTCATGTGTGTTTGTGTGTTTTACGACCCTTCATTCAGAGAAAACACAAACTCTTAATGTGCGGCAAGAACTTTAGCTTGGAAACATCACACCCTGAGGGAGCCAAGAGCAATTTATATCATTCAACTATTCTGATTTTTACTTTCATCTGCATGTCTGTTTAAGATTTGGCTGAGAAGCGACAGATGATATGCTCAAAAGAGAATACAATTAATGTTTTAGGACATAATAAATCTTCTTCATGGCTATTTTTAATGGAAAAGCTCAAATGTGCAGGCTGAGGCTAATTTTTAGGGTGCTTTGCTTGCTTATCTACATTATTTCCAAACTGCGCGCTAGTTTGAACTGGGATGGGAGGGAGAGAGAGGATGAAATCCATCAAGCATGTCTTATGTCCATAAAGCCGATAAACATGCGATATGCACAGCAACTGTGTGATCAGTAGACCTGCAATTTTGTTGAAATTAATTGTGTTTGCATGGGAGAGAGAAGTTCCGTGGAATGCACCTTAGAACGTCCGATATCGCGAACCACAAGTGAGTTTTACCCTGCGTGAAACAATCCCACAATAAAGATACATACTGATCCATTTGTTTCCCAAACCCGACGGCCGTGTTTGATTGTGAACTTTTGTGTCGTTTCATTTTGGTCAGTACAAGGATCCAGGAATCGAGATGCAGGGATCATTAGGAAAGGAACCCAAAATCAAACTGCCAATGCGAATGAATGAATTAATTTTATTATTACGGTCCCAAACCAGTTCCGGCTCACTTACAATATCAGGAAAATCATAAAACACAACAGGAATACATTGAATTGCAATTGGGTATAACAGAGACAATTCAGATGTAGCGGCAGTTAAAAATATATATTAAATCTTAGGGAACAAGCTGTACTACCAAAATGATGAAGGTTTTAAATGACAATTTTAGGATATATTTTAATGATCAAGATTTAATAAACTGCCAATGTAATCGCGCCATTATACAAATCTGTGCTGCAACCACATTTGGAATACTGTGTATTATTATTATTATTATTATTATTATTTTATTTTATTATTATTAAAATTGACAGAGAAAAGTTTTTCCTCTTTCATAATACTAGAGCTCACGGGCACCCGATGAAGCTGATTGCTGGAAGATTTGGGACAGATAAAATGAAGCCCTTCATCACACAGCCCATGGAACTCCCTGCCACAGGAGACATGGATGGTTGGCTTTAAAGAGAGGATTAGACTAATTCATGCAGCATAGGGCTACCAGTGGCTACTAGCCACGATGGCTATATTTTGCCTTCACATTTGGAGGCAGTGATGCTTTTGAATGTCAGTTGCTGGAAACCGCGGCAGAGAGGAGAGGGCTCTCACGCTCGGATCCTGTTTGCGAGTTTTCCATGGGCATCCGGTTGGCCACTGTGAAAACAGGATGCTTGGCCAGATGGCCCACTGGCCTGATTCAGCAGGGTCTTCTTACGTCCTTAAGACTGACCGGCCTCACAAAACTGCGCAGTTCATTAATACATACACAAATGGATCTATTTGAATAACAGATGACCTGTTTATTGAGCCTTCCATAGTTCTAGTTACAGGTAGGTAGCCGTGTTGGTCTGTTGTTGTTGTTGTTTAGTCGTTTAGTTGTGTCCGACTCTTCGTGACCCCCTGGACCAGAGCACGCCAGGCACTCCTGTCCTCCACTGCCTCCCGCAGTTTGGTCAAACTCATGCTGGTAGCTTCAAGAACACTGTCCCACCATCTCGTCCTCTGTCGTCCCCTTCTCCTTGTGCCCTCCATCTTTCCCAACATCAGGGTCTTTTCCAGGGAGTCTTCTCTTCTCATGAGGTGGCCAAAGTATTGGAGCCTCAGCTTCAGGATCTGTCCTTCCAGTGAGCACTCAGGGCTGATTTCCTTCAGAATGGATAGGTTTGATCTTCTTGCAGTCCATGGGACTCTCCAGAGTCTCCTCCAGCACCAGAATTCAAAAGTGTTGGTCTGCCATAGTTGAAACAAAATAAAAATAAAAATTCCTTCCAGTAGCACCTTAGAGACCAATAACAAACTTAGTTGGTCTCTAAGGTGCTACTGGAAGGAATTTGTTTATTGAGCATTCATCCTCATTTGCTTTCACAAGGTTTATGCAGAGGTTAGATTATATCTGGTCTTTAATAGGTTTATGTCTATATGTTGTTGTTGTTGTAGTGGTAGTATTTATGCCCTTCCCATCTGATTGGGTTGCCCCAGCCACTCTGGGCGGCTTCCAACAGATATAAAAACATAATAAAACATCAAACATTTAAAACCTCCCTATACAGGGCTGCCTTCAGGTGTCTTCTAAAATTCAGACAGTTGGAGATGTTTAAACCATTATCTTTTATATGTTTCTTTTAGCTTTCTGGACTTTTAGCTGTGTTGCTTTAATTTGTTTAAGCCGTCCTTGAGTCCCAGTCTGGGAAGAAGGCAGGAAATAAACAACAGGAACAATTTATCGAGCATTTATTCTGATCCGTTTGCAGGGCAATGACCACTCACCTCACTTTGCTTGTGGGAAGTTTATACATCTTCCCATTAATCAATTGTTCACCTCACATTTTCCAGGGGAGCATCCCCATCACTCTCTTAACCACGACAAGTTTGCGTGGGGTTTTTAAAAGTGGATTTGTTACACGGGAGCAACAAAGCACTTTAACCCACTTTGACTGCACAAACCTACATTTTTTGGTGTGTGCTTGAATCCCCGCCTCAGAAATAGTGACCGTTTAGAGGAGCTTTATATATCCAACAAGTTGAAACGTAAAGGCAGCATAAAACAGAAATAAAAAATCTTTATAACCTCAGAGTATAAAATGCAGTCACCTTCACACAAACCCTGAGAAGTCGTTGCTTTTTAATGTGCTTTAATGTGTTTCTATATATGTAGAAAGGAGAAAAACAACATGTGCACAACAAAATAAAATAAAGAACACAAATTGAATCCCAACTCTTTCAGCTGCTGACATGTAAGATTGTATGCCCGGTGTAGCAGTACTGTATATAAAATAAAGCTCTACCATACGGCACTGAACTATAGTGACTTCTTGCTGCCTTGTGCTAGGAGTATATATAGTTTTGAATAACTTGGGTTTTAGAAACAAGGACCATAGGAATAATAAATTGATACAAATAAATAGACCAAGTCTTCTCATGCCATTTGTATATCACAAAAATTACTAGGTGTATATAACGAATGATTCCCCCACACACACACAAATGCAGTGATTGACCAAAATTTACTATCCAAGCTTGAATGATTAAATGGTCTAAGACAGTGGTTCTCAAGCTTTTTTCCTCTGGGCACACATTCAGAATAAAAATTTGCTTCTGCCACACAACAAAAAGGAGCAACTAGAAGTGCTTTGTTTTTAACCTAGAACACACCTAATTTATAATATGATCATGGGATTTTAAAAAAAATATATATTGCAAAATTAATGAATGTTAGAAGGATGTTGGAATGAAATTATATGGTTTTAGCAGAAATGTAATAAAGAATTAAGTAAAAGTTGATTGATAATGGGTAAAAATGGAAAAATTAAAGGTTAGACCGTTAAGATTAATTATAGAACAAAAATTGAGAAAGATGGAAAGAATTTGCTGAAATAGTTAACTGAACTAGAATACAAAAAGGGAGGTGTGAGGAGGTCGATGAAACAAGTAAATGAAAGGTAAAGATACGGAATATTGGATGTGTTTTTAAATGTTTTTGTTTTTAAATGTTTTTGCTTTTTTGTTCTTATTGTTGTGCTATACTGTTTTTTTATTCTGGTTTTTATTTTCTTTTGATGTATTGTATTGTAACTTTTTACTGTCTTTTTTCCCTTTTTTTCTGTAATTGTTAAACTTTTAATAAATATCTTTTTTAAAATATATATATATATATGATATGATCATGGGACATCCAGAAAGTATAAAATAATGCAGGGATGTCAGAACATGAATCATTCCCAAAATATAATTATAAACGAGCCTCTTACATATGTACCTTAGGTACATATGAGAGGTGTGAGATTGCTTTTGCCAGGAAATCTCATTTATATTAGGTCTGTTTTGAGACAGACAAACTCTCATCTCATCCACACAAATAAGCCTTTTTTCCTTTTCTAATCTTTCATATTTGTCGGAGTTGAAAATCCCGGTTTGTGGAGAACTATAGAATAGCCAACGCTCTTCAAGAGAGAGACGTGAATACTATTTCTGCTTGCATGGATACAGATAGCGATAGAGATCATAGGGATAGAGAGATACTACAGTGGTGCCCCGCAAGACGAATGCCTCGCAAGACGAAAAACTCGCTAGACGAAAGGGTTTTCCGTTTTTTGAGTCGTTCCGCAAGACGAATTTCCCTATGGGCTTGCTTCGCAAGACGAAACATCTTGCGAGTTCTTGCGAGTTTGTTTCCTTTTTCTTAAAGCCGCTAAGCCGCTAATAGCCGCTAAGCCGCTAATAGCCGTGCTTCGCAAGACGAAAAAACCGCAAGACGAAGAGACTCACGGAACGGATTAATTTCGTCTTGCGAGGCACCACTGTACACCGAAATGTTAAATATTTGTTTTGTTTTGTTAAAAATAAATTTTATTAGTATTTTCCACATAACAACAACACGAAAGATATCAAAAAATAACGATACACAACACACAAAAATCAACATTCGAAAACTAAAGAAAGCAACAACAACAAACAAATCCATATCTTACAAGTTAATATTATATTATAAACAACAACAAGAAGACATTAACTTCTACCAATCCCACAGCACCTCCTTTATCTCTCATTGTGTCTTCCTGGTTTGTTCCTGATCATCTCTATCCTAACATCTAGATATAAATCCTTATTTCATATTTATTTGATTGCCCTTGAATATTCCCACCATATTTGCCATGTTCTCCCGCCACATCCGTGTGGTGTGCGACACCCTTTGAGAACCCCTGGTCTGAGAACGGCAAATCAAGATGACGGACTATGTCAAAATAGCAAAACGAACTGGGAAGCTCAGAAATCAAGAAGACAATTTTTTAAAAAAAAGAATGGGAAAAGTTTATGATTTATATACGAGACCACTGCAGGCAGGTTAAAACAGGATTTTAATCACACTTGTAAAGTAACGGAAACTATGGACAATTTAGAAAGAAAAATATTTGGATAAATATTGACATGCAATTGTAATTATTTTTACTCGGACCCATGGAAGGAATGAGGGGAAGTCAGGAGATTCAAAATACAGTGGTACCTCGGGTAACAGACGCTTCAGGTTACAGACACTTCAGGTTACAGACACCACTAACCCAGAAATAGTACCTCGGGTTAAGAACTTTGCTTCAGGATGAGAACAGAAATCGCATGGCGGCAGCGGGAGGCCCCATTAGCTAAAGTGGTACCTCGGGTTAAGAACAGTTTCAGGTTAAGAACGGACCTCCAAACGAATTAAGTTCTTAACCTGAGGTACCACTGTAACCGCAGTATTTGGTTTTGAATTGATGTTTGTTGTGTGTTTATATATATTTTTAATCAAATAAAATATTTTTTTTAAAGAGAACCACTGGTCTGAGGTCACCCACAGTCCTTAGATGCCATTATTGATATAATTTTACATAAAGTATTTTAGATGAATGCCCATTTCTTTATCCAGCTAGACCATGGGTAGGCAAACTAAGGCCCGGGGGCCGGATCCAGCCCAGTCGCCTTCTCAATCCGGCCCGTGTACAGTCCGGGAATCAGCATGTTTTTACATGAGCAGAATGTGTGCTTTTATTTAAAATGCATCTCTGGGTTATTTGTGGGGCATTGGAATTTGTTCTTTTTTTCCCTTTTCTTTTCTTTTCAAAATATAGTCCGGCCCCCCACAAGGTCTGAGGGACAATGGACCGGACCCTTGCTGAAAAAGTTTGCTGACCCCTGAGCTAGACCATAGTCCCAGGCTTCCTTAGATTCCCACCAAAGCAGGGAGTGCCCCCCATCCTCCATTCCTGTTGCGGCACCACGCCAGAGGGACGCAAGCAAAACAGGCGTCTGCCCTTTGAGGGAGCTGTCTGAACACGCAGACATGCGAGATGGGGACGCAGCTGACGGTAACCAGAAACTTCTGTGGATTAAACACAAATTCTGTCTCTCTCTCTCGCTTTCTGCCTGCTTGCCTGGCTGGCACCTGTTGACTTTTATGGTCCTCAACTCATCCACAAAGCACCAGCCACTTCCGTGCCCCTCGGGCGCAGTGACGCACCATTCATAAAAAGGGAGGCCAAGGCAGTTACAAAACAAGTCTAAGCAGATTTCACTGGGGAAGAGCTACAGCTCAATGGTTTCCATGCAGGAGGTTGCAGGTTTGATCCCAGCATTTCCATGTAGGGTTGGGGGATTTATAATGAATTGAAAAATACATTTATTAAGAAACCAGAGGCCTTTCTTCTTGGAATAATAGGTTTGGAATTGCCCCAAAAAGATGTTAGATTGTTTTTGTATGCCACAACTGCAGCTAGAATTTTGTTAGCTAAGAATTGGAAATCACAAGAAGTCCCGACTGTGGAGGAATAGCAGATGAAGATGATGGACTTTTCGGAGCTAGCCGACCTGACCGGAATAGTCTGTGACAGAAGGAGGAGGAGTACCAGGAGGAATGGATAAAATTTAAAGACTATTTAGTTAAATATGCTAAGATAGCTTAATTGGAAAAACTTGCAAATTCCAGATAGGCTTAGGATTTAATTATGTAATTTTAGAGAAGAATATGTTTAGAGTCCAAATGAAAACAAAGTACAGTGGTACCTCGCAAGACGAATGCCTCGCAAGACGGAAAACTTGCAAGAAGAAAGAGTTTTCCGTTTTTCGAGGTGCTTCGCCAGACGAATTTCCCTATGGGCTTGCTTCGCAAGAAGAAAGCCCATAGGGAAATCTCCGGGGACCTCTTTTAAAATGCTGGCGGTCGGGAGCAAAGACTTTCGCCCACCGCCGGCCTTCAGAAGAGGTCCTGGACCTCTTCTGAAGGCTGGCGGGGGGCAAAAGTCTTTGCTCCCCCCCGCCTGCCTTCCTGGGACAGCGGAGACTTCTCCGCTGTCCCGGGCGATCTTAAAATGCTGCCGGGCGGCAGCGAAGCCTTCGCTCCGCCCGCCAGCATTTTAAAATCGCCCCGGGACAGCAGAGGCTTCGCTGCCACCCACCAGCATTTTAAAATCGCCCCGGGACAGCGGAGAAGTCTCCACTGTCCCGGGGGCTTTTAAAATGCTGGCGGTCGGCAGCAAAGCCCTCCTGTCCCCGGAACTTGTGGGGCGGGAGGTGGGGAGAAGGGCTTTTCTTCCCACCGCCAGCCTTCAGAACAGCCTTCTGAAGGCTGGGGGTGGGAAGAAAAGCCCTTGTCCCCCCCCCCAGCCTTCAGAAGAGGTCCAGGGACAGACTGTCCCCGGACCTGGTCTGAAGGCGGTTTCCATAGGAACGCATTGATTGATTTTCAATGCATTCCTATGGGAAACCGTGCTTCGCGAGACAAAAAACTCGCAAGAAGAAAAAACTCGCGGAACGAATTAATTTCGTCTTGCGAGGTACCACTGTAAGAGGTTAAGTGATTAAGTTAATTTTATGAGAAAATAGGTTTTGGAAAACTGCTACAATGATATACACTGAAATTCAGCCAGGGGGGTTATGAGGAAGTCACTTAACAATGTTACTAAAATTGGATCAAGTACAGCTAAGATGTATGTTTGTTTGTCTGTTTAAAAATTTTGGAAAACCAATAAAAAAATTTGGGGGGGGGAAACGTAGGGTTGGGGGAGACTCCCTGTTGAAACTGCTGCGAGTTCGTGTGGAGAACAGAAGACCCTCCAAGCGTTTCCTTATTTTGGGGGGACAGGACAGCCCCAGATTTACAGAGGCCATTTCAGTTTCTGATTTGATCCCAGAATGTCCCGCTTTCCCTTGGGACGTCCCTATTTTCATCAGAGAAATGTTGGAGGGAAAAGTTATGCAACCTCCAAGCCACAGAGATAAGTTAAATATACAACATTTAGAAGACATCTGAAGGCAGCCTCGTATAGGGAAGTTTTTAAATGTTCAATGTTTTATTATGTTTTTATATCTGTTGGAAGTCGCCCAGAGTGGCTGGGGCATCCCAGTCAGATGGGAGGACATTATTATTATTATTATTATTCTGCTTATTTAACTTATATGCAGATTTCATCATGCGAAAGGCTGGGCTGGAAGAATCCCAAGCCGGAATTAAGATCGCCAGAAGAAATATCAACAACCTCAGATATGCAGATGACACAACCTTGATGGCAGAAAGTGAGGAGGAATTAAAGAACCTTTTAATGAGGGTGAAAGAGGAGAGCGCAAAATATGGTCTGAAGCTCAACATCAAAAAAACTATGATCATGGCCACTGGTCCCATCACCTCCTGGCAAATAGAAGGGGAAGAAATGGAGGCAGTGAGAGATTTTACTTTCTTGGGCTCCCCTGAACATTTTTTTTTAGAAAAAAAAGGACAAGCAGGACACAAACACCACAGCCCTTATTCACAAGATACTGTTATCTGAAATATATATAGCCCTTTTTTGTGCGATGGTACTCACTGGTGACGCTGTGGGTCAAACCACAGAGCCTAGGACTTGCTGATCCGAAGGTCGGCGATTCGAATCCCCGTGACGGGGTGAGCTCCTGTTGTTCAGTCGCTGCTCCTGCCCACCTAGCAGTTCAAAGGACGTCAAAGTGCAAGTAGATAAATAGGTACCACTCCGGCGGGAAGGTAAACGGCGTTTCCGTGCGCTGCTCTGGTTCGCCAGAAGCGGCTTAGTCATGCTGGCCACATGACCCGGAAGCTGTACGCCGGCTCCCTCGGCCAATAAAGCGAGATGAGCACCACAACCCCAGAGTCGGTCACGACTGGACCTAATGGTCAGGGGTCCTTTTACCTTTACTCACTGATGGAGAATACTGAAACCTTTTTTCCTGCCTGTGAAAGCTTTTTTATGCTGGCACCTGCTTTGACCGACATAAGCATATATATTTTTTTGCCATTACGTGCTTGGCCAAAGCTTGCTTGCTCCTTCATTAACAGCCAATTTATTGAAAAAGCCAGTGTTGTGCGGAGTTTTCTGCGCTGAGCTGGGTGCATTCAAATCCCTATCCAATGATGGTCCCTTGGGACCAGCCACTCTCTTTTGGGCCTGACCTACCTCTCAGGGTTCGTGAGAAGATAAAATAAAGGAGCGGGAAAAGCTACATATGCCAACCTGAGGGGTTTTTTGGTGGTCTTTTTAAAGGGGAAAGTGGAACATAAATATAAAAAATAATAATGGTTGTCATCTGTCTTGAATTTTCCGGACATAGGCGGAATACTGCAGTGGGAAGCAGTGTCCGGGAAAATCCAGGTGTATGGTAACCCATGTCGGAAGACTAGATTTTGGCGAATTTCCTTAAAAGTAGCTCCAAAACTTCTTTTTTGAAAGAGAGAGATTTTAGGAAAAACTAAAGCAAGCTCAACAACTTTGCTCCAAAACTGCTCAGCAACTTTTGTCTCCGGATTTTCGCTTTTTGAAATATGGCAAGCATCATTTCCCTTTATTTTTGCTGCGGGTTGACTGATTTAGGAACGCCTTTCCTCCATTATAAATGGAGTATTATTATTATTATTATTATTATTATGCAATCTCTCTCTCTCTCTCTCTCTCTCACACACACACACACACACACACACACACTACAAAAGTACAATGTCTGCAGGTCAGATTTCCTCGAAAAGAAGGTCCAATAGGGACTCTTTTCCCAAGAAATGCATTGGAACCCACAGCGAGTAAACATCCCACAGACAGGGCAAAGCCCTTTCGCGCGGTATTTTGCCTCTTCTCGCGCGCCGTAGGCGCAAAGCCATAGAGACGGTCGGCCGAGAAGGGCCGGCCGGGCAGGCTTGGAAATGCCCCGGAAGCGGAAGCTTGGGAAGGCGCTCACATTTGCAAACCCGCGACGGAGCAGTTCGCCGAGCGAGTCGACGGCTAGGAAGACGATAAGGGCCCAGCCATGTGAGGACGGGCCGGGGATGCGGGTGGAAGAGAAGGAGCCCGGGTTTTTTTAGGGGGGGGCGGAGGTCCCCTTTCTTGTGGGTCAGGATTTTTTTGGGGGGGGTCCTCATCTCCACTATACCGTAAATATTCGAATAGGCGCGCCTGTTTAAGAGCGTTATAATTACTGCCGTATTTATGCCCCACCTCCAAGAAGGCTTACAAAAAAGAGAGACAAAATTTAAAAAATCCCTTCCAGTAGCACCTTAGAGACCAACTAATTTTCTTATTGGTATGAGCGTTCGTGTGCATGCACACTTCTTCAGATATTTTAGTTGGTCTCTAAGGTGCTACTGGAAGGAATTTTTAAATTTTATTTCGACCAGGGCAGACCAACGTGGCTACCTACCTGTAAAAAAGAGAGAGAGAAAGGGAGCAGCTAAAAACATAGTGGGAGTAGTGGTGGAAACCAGTCATTAAAAAAAGCATTCATGGAATTAAATGGCTCCCACTGCCTTTTTAGAAAGGCTACCCCCAGCTCTCCCCTTCGCCCCCGACACCATCCTCTTCTCTGCCGCCCCTTTTCTCGTGCTCCTTGGCCGTTTGCAAGTGGGAAGGGGGAGTCATGGCCTTCATGCGCTGCCTCTGGGCTTCCCTTACAAGCAGCTGGTTGGCCGCCTTAAGAACAGAATGCTGGGGCTCGCTGCCTCCCCTTCCCCACTTGGGTCTGATCCAACTACTGGCCTCTTCCTCACGCCCAGGGTCCCCAGATTCTTCCCTCTTGACTTATTTGGCTGCTTCCAAGATGCTTCCCAGTGGCTAGTGGAATAATTTTGCCGATTCAGATGGGAGGGGTCCTGCGTTAGCATGTTTCCAACCGCCTTACCTTTACAGTGGTACCTCGGGTTACATGCGCTTCAGGTTACAGACTCCGCTAACCCAGAAATAGTACCTTGGGTTAAGAACTTTGCTTCAGGATGAGAACAGAAATCGTGCTCCGGCGGCGCAGCAGCAGGAGGCTCCATTAGCCAAAGTGTTGCTTCAGGTTAAGAACAGTTTCAGGTTAAGAACGGACCTCCGGAACAAATTAAGTACTTAACCCGAGGTACCACTGTACTTTGGTAAAGGGCGCTGTGTAAGTAATTGGGTGCATATTTTAAAGGAACCACCTTAAGAGTTTATGACTCTTAACTTGTTTCAAAACTGTTTTTTAATATTGTGTTTTGATCACTGTAATCTGCCCTGGGACCTTAGGGTTAAGGGTGGGTAAATAACAACAACAGTTAGGATAATTTTATTCCCTGTTAGTTATGAGCAGCAGAGATTTTGCTTCCACACTAATCCCATCGCTCCCCTGCACAGGACACTTTCAGTGGGTTGTGTCTACTGCCTTAAAATATTTGAGTGGAGGAATAATGATTCTTGGTAGTTAGGATCTTTCTCTTTTTTTCCTTCCACCGCCCCTGCACCACAGTGCTTCTTCCATGCTTGCGGTGAAAGGATGAGTCGTATAACCGCTAGAACATATTTTATATTGCCAAGTCACATTTAGTTGGTGCTGGATGTTGTACACCAGATGCCTGCATAGTTATCCTATGGGACTTGACAAGCGCCGTCTCTTTTCTTCCTCCTCAGGAGCCTCTTAAACAAGCCCAAGAGTGAGATGACCCCAGAGGAGCTCCAGAAGAGGGAGGAGGAAGAGTTCAACACGGGGCCCCTCTCTGTTCTCACCCAGTCCGTCAAAAACAATACTCAGGTGCTAATCAACTGTCGAAACAACAAGAAACTGCTTGGCCGGGTCAAAGCCTTTGACAGGTAGGATCCTCTGTTTTGCTCGGAAGCAAATAAAGCCAGATCAAGTTCAGACTTTCAAAATAAGTGGCAGATTTCCAGTTTAAGTTTTCCTCTTGGTAGTTCCATCTCCTTCAGAAGTTCAGAGAGAGGGGTGTTGGCCCAGGAGAGGGAATTCTCTTGCAGCCACAGAGTTGAGGAATGCTCTCCCCACAATGATGTGTCTGGTTTCTTCATTACAGCGCTTTCTTTTTCTTTCTTTTTAAATGATATTTATTACTTTTTTCAACACAACACCACAAACAAACAAAAAGAAAAGAAAGAAAAGAACAATACAAATACAATACAAAAAACACTACATAACACCAACGCATTAAACTAACAAAACAAAGCAAAAACAAACAAAAACAGTTTAAAAACACCTCAAACATTTTCAATATCTTATCTTTCATTCACTTATTTCCAACGACCTCCTCACACCTCCCTTTTGTATTCCACTTCTATTAATTGTTTCAGCAATTCCTTTCCATCTTCCTCTGTTTTCTATCCTATAATTATCTCAACACATTCTTGCCTTATTTTTTCCTTTAATTTTCTATTAATCTATTTATACTTCGTTCCTTATAACATTTCTACTAAAGCCATATAACTTCATTCCAACACATTCCAGCGCTTTCCTACAAATGCTGAATACGCATCTCTTTACCCTGGTCTTTGTCAACCGACATGTGTGTTGATAGTGCCCTTCCTATTCCGTTTATAAATTTAACAACAGTATAAATTTGTGCACTCTGAATTGAACGATTCCCCTTTGAGGTTCTTCTGGACTCTCTAGTCTAGAGAATGGGGGGGGGGTGTTCCTTGGTCACAGAGAGAGGGGTGTTTTGTTCCCTCCCCATTTCTTGGTAGCAGGAAAGAGCGAGCCTTGCATCCAGGTAACAGCTTCCTCTCCCCACCAGGCACTGCAACATGGTGTTGGAAAACGTTAAGGAGATGTGGACAGAGGTGCCCAAGAGTGGGAAAGGCAAGAAGAAATCGAAACCTGTCAACAAGGACCGCTACATCTCCAAGATGTTCCTACGTGGAGATTCGGTCATTGTGGTGCTGAGGAACCCCCTAATCGCTGGCAAATAATAGGCTGTCAGCAGGCTGTAGGTGCTTGAGAGCCTAGTCCAGTAAAGTGGTCTAATCAAGAAACCAGCAAGAGGCTGTTAAGGTGCGCTGATGGCTTTAGCCAATAGCATCTTCTTAGCATTTACAAGTATTTCTGAGCAATGAGTACCCAGTGCCGCGATGAAGGAAAGTGCAAGGCTTCTTGCTATTCATAGAGTTGATGATGACATTTCCAATCCCCAGACACCCTGGTTATGTTCATATATGTTGCCCGATGACCTTTTCTTTTGTAATAAACATTTTGTTAAAATCCTCTTTCTGCTTTTTTGTTTGGCACAGGCTCTTCTGCCTGGTTGAAGCTTTTGAATGGCGCAATGAAGGGAATGGGAATCTTGTGGCTGGTGGGAGCTGAGCTGTGGGTTACCGTATTTTTCACTCTATGTGGTGTTGTTTATCTTTAGTTTGTCGACTCTTCCCCCCTGACAGAGCACCAAGGACTCTGACTACTTCCGCGTTTGAACTCATGCTGGTACCTGCGAAAACCTATCCAACACCTCGTCTCTGTCGTCCCTTCTCCTGTGCATCTTCGCATCAGCTCTCCAGGAGCTTCTCTTCTAGAGGTGGCCAAAGTATGGAGCCTCACTTCCAGACTCAGGCTTATTCCTTAGAATGTGCGTTTGACTCTTGCAGCAGGAAGAGTCTACCATACAAAGCTCAATCCGCGTCGCTCTTTATGGTCTCTCCATATACAGCCATGCAGGCCTTGAAGCCTGGGACGCGAGCTGGCTGCGCCACCCCAGAAGTTCAAGTGCAGCTATCTGCAAACTTTCAGAGCGCTCCCCCCAGCCCCGAAGCGTCCTTGGGAACGGCGGCAAGGCTGGCATGCACCTTGCCGGTGCGCCCGGACCTGTTCTGTGGGAGACTTGGTGGTCCAGGAAGGTTTCGGGTCTTCCCCCTCCCAGCCCGCGGCTAAAAACAATTCAAGACAGAAGTCCGGTGGCCACTATAGAGCGAAAAAGTACGGTACAAGTGCTGGAGAGAAGTCACTCTGTGCTGAGCAATTAGTTGTAGGAAACTAAGCGAATCCCCAAATCTGAAAAGCTTTTTGACTTCTGCCCACCCAGAAGTGAGGTTCCGTGCGAAGTCTTTAGAACTCGATCCCAACGCGGCTTCCACAATTCTAGATGGCGCAGAGTTCCTGCTAGCCATCAGAGCCACCTTTGGTTTCAAACGTTGGCAGTGAACAGACTTCGGAACGGATCGTTCGATTCCAAGGTACAACTGTACTGAACAAAATTGCAGTTCTGGGAATTTTCAATTCATATCAAGACTTGATCTATTGATCAGCAGTGGCAGATGGAGGGATTATTGGGTTGTCTTTGTTCTTATTTTTATGGTGTATTTTGTGTTTTTAATATTGTAATTTTATGTTGTGAACCGCCCTGAGATCTACAGGTATAGGGCGGTGTACAAATTTAATTAACAACAGCAACAACTGCAGGGGAGGGATGCTTCTGCATCAATTTGCCAGCATTGGAATTTCAACATATATTCTTTAAAAATTTGATAGCATCCTTGTTGAGTGTTGTAAACCCACACAAATGAAGTGACCATTGCAATTTCTTTTTACCACAATTTATTCATATACTGCTGTTTGGGCTCCCAAAGCTTTGAACAGAGTATTAAAACAAAATACACAATGGAGCGCAAGAATGTGCCATAAATCAGTCCTCAAGCCAAACAATATAAGAGCAGAACCGCAATGAAGAAAAGGCTTCCTAAGATAGAAGATTAAAAGCTGTTCTCCCCAACTGCGCATCCCACACACCTTGGGGCTGGAAACTTGGAACAGACAATGAAATATTCTGGTGTTTTTTTAAAAAAAATACAAAATTGAGTTAGAAAAATGTTTCCCCAAGTTCAATTTAGTAGCACAGGAAGCTGCCTAATATAGACCATTAGTCGATCTATTTCAGTGCTATCTTCACTGACTGGCAGAAGCTCTCCTGGGTTTTTAGACTGGATACAGTCTCCTACTTGGGAGATGCCAGGGACTGAGCAAAAGACTTTCTGCATTCAGATCAGATGCCCCAGCACTGAGCTGCAGCCATTTCCCTTTGCCTCTTAAGTTGAACAATTAAAGGTAAAGGGACCCCTGACCATTAGGTCCAGTCATGACCGACTCTGGGGTTGCGGCGCTCATCTCGCTTTATTGGCCAAGGGAGCCGGCGTACAGCTTCCGAGTCATGTGGCCAGCATGACTAAGCCGCTTCTGGCGAACCAGAGCAGCGCACGGAAACGCCGTTTACCTTCCCGCCGGAGCGGTACCTATTTATCTACTTGCACCTTGATGTGCTTTCGAACTGCTAGGTTGGTAGGAGCTGGGACTGAGCAACGGGAGCTCACCCCATCACAGGGATTCGAACCGCCGACCTTCTGATCGGCAAGTCCTAGGCTCTGTGGTTTAACCCACAGCACCACAATGTAACTCTTCATAAAACATGACTCTTTGGGGCTGTTCTTCCTGTAACCTCCTGCTTACTGAGGCTAACGGGATTTGCAGTCCGAACCATCTGGGAGGCCACCAGGTTGAGGAAAGCTAGGATTGTTCCTAAACCCCAAAGCTGTCTCCCCATATTCAGCCTGCTTGTTGTGCTGATGGCTGTGCCTAGTATCTATTCCTCTCTATTTTGTGTGCATCTCTTCCTCTCCCTATGTCAGCATGAGCTCATTCCTTCGGCCCAGCTGGCTTCCTCCCAGCCCCCAGGTGAAACCCTAACCCTCTCCAGCCTCTGAAAGTGACTTTGTCTTGCTTTGATACAGGGCAAACCTTTTACCGCCTAGTGCGTCCTACGAGCCGTGTCTTAACAGAGCTGCAGCGTTGCTTAAAAACAAATTTACTTAAAGTATCGGTTACCCCCTAGAGGAGGGCAGTCAGTCGGCGGGGCACAGCAGCACAAACCTGCTGCCACACTGGGGAATTTTATACAGGGACAGATGGACGAATCGTCAGAAGGTGCCTGGCGGGGGGTGGGGGGTGGACCCAGGCTACTTGGGGTGCCCTGTGCTTTTTTCAGCATGGTAGATACGGAGGAAGGGATTTGAGAAAAGATTTCAGGTACATAGGCACAGCATTGAACGAGGAGTGCAGAGGCCCATCAAATTAAGAAAGACTTGCGATATTGCTCAGGTCTTAAAAACTAACCACTGCTCCCTGAAGATGAAGCACAAAATGTGCACCTCGGCATTTTGAAGCTCAGTGGGAACTCGTTAACAAGCTGGAAATGTTAATTACTGTATTTTTCGCTCTATGACGCACCAGACCACAAGACGCACCTAATTTTTGGAGGAGGAAAACAAGAAAAAAAATATTCTGAATCCCAGAAGCCAGAACAGCAAGAGGGATCGCTGCGCAGTGAAAGCAGCAACCCCTCTTGCTGTTCTGGCTTCTGGGATAGCTGCGCAGCCTGCATTCGCTCCATAAGACGCGCACACATTTCCCCTTACTTTTTAGGAGGGAAAAAGTGAGTCTTATAGAGCAAAAAATATGGTAATTACATGTCTGAATCTGGTGAATTTTGGCATTCACAGGTGAGCGCTGATGGTTCCAGTTTTTTCTTACATGTCTGAATAATGGGTGTGCTTTTGTGCTTTCTGGGTGTAACAGTCCTGGAAATGCTAACTGCTGAATTTTGAAACTTCCCAAAGCTCATCCATTAAGTCAGCCCCATTACTCCGTTCTAACGCCCCAACTCAGATTCTGCACCCGAAGCCGTGAAGGGTGGGGGTGGTTTGTGATGAGAGGATGCTGAGCTCGAAGGATGCTGAGCATGATCTGAGCTACTTATCACTCAAGAGCCTTCCACATAGGGGGAAAAGGTGGTACTTGGAAATGGTAGCTGGAGTCTGGGAGTAAGAACTGGGTCCTCCACATTCAGTACATTTCTATCAAGAGACTCGAGGTGGGATAAATAGAGTCACCAACTTGTTTCCTATCCAGCCGCTGATGAAACTGGCTGTGCCTGCTTACTTTCAGCAATGCCCCTCAGGTGTTCAGAGTGGTCTTCTTTGGCAATCACTCATAGCCGAGTAAGATTGTCTTTCCAAAGCACGCCTTTAACAGTGAGTCCGTAAGTGACTGTGGAGGCTAATTCTGGATCCACACGTCCTTCCACAGTGGGGACACAGGTTTCCAGGCGGGAGTTGATCACGGTGAGGGGTTTGCCAAACGTGCCTTTTAGCACGTTTCTCCCTTTCATCCTGAATTCAAACGTCTTCAAAGTCCATGACACCTTTGGTAAAGGCTGTTCTCCAACTGGAGCACTCGCAGGCCAGTGTTTCCCAGTTGTCAGTGTTTATACTACATTTTTAAAGATTTGCCTTGAGAGAACCTCTTTTGTTGTCCACCAGCATTACGCTTTCCATTTTTAAGTTCGGAATAGTTTTGCTTTGGAAGACGATCATCAGGCATCCGCACAACATGACCAGTCCAACGAAGCTGATGTTGAAGAATCATTGCTTCGACACTGGTGATCTTTGCTTCTTCCAGTACACTGGCATTAGTTCGCCTGTCTCCCTAAGTATAAAATTTTCCGGAGACACCGTTGATGGAATCTTTCGTGGAGTTGGAGATGGCGTTTACAAGTGGCCCATGTTTCACAAGCATACATGTTTCACAAGCATACAGTATGCATCATGGAACAAGTGCACTTTGGAGGTTGTGGGTGGGGAGACCACCCTGACTGCAGTTTCAAAGTGGCCCTCCAGGAAATACAGAGGTGCCTCGCAAGACGAAATTAATCCGTTCCGCGAGTCTCTTCGTCTTGCGGTTTTTTCGTCTTGCGAAGCACAGCTATTAGCGGCTTAGCGGCTATTAGCGGCTTAGCGATTATTAACGGCTTAGCGGCTATTAACGGCTTAGCGGCTTTAAGAAAAAGGAAACGAACTCGCAAGAACTCGCAAGACGTTTCGTCTTGCGAAGCAAGCCCATAGGGAAATTCATCTTGCGGAACGACTCAAAAAACGGAAAACCCTTTCGTCTTGCGAGGCATTCGTCTTGCAGGGCACCACTGTATATCCGATATGCAGATGGTATAAGTTACTTCTGCACATCTATGGAAATTGGTGATTAGCAGACTTCCTGCAAAAGATCCTGGGCCTGAGGCAATGGATACCTTTCTCAACTCCTCTGCTTTTGCAAGGTGTGAATTGGCCCGTAGTGAATAAGCCTTTCGGAAATGTTTCAGAGTCCCCTGGTAAAGCAGGAGGCTCTGGCCAGTCTCCTCGATATCCCTCTTCTCTCCCCCCAACATCCT